ACTAGAAAAGATTAATTTTTAATGTAAAATCTGTGAGGGGCATTTATGGAGGAAACATGTTCTCATTTAGAATATTTTCTCAGGCGGAAGTTTCTCTAGGAAGCCTTGGTTTTGGTTTTCTAGTTTTACAAAATACTGTAAGACACAAACCTCTATGCCAAAAATCATTAGAATAAATTACTTTCAAAGTCTGGCAGGAGATAATTTTCCACAGAAATTACATTATAGATAACGAAAATGAATATATTAAATAATATAATTTTCATACTACTTTGTGCAGTACAAAGGTGATCTTTGTACAAATATTTTGTTTCTTTTTTCATTGCTGTGTTCTAATTTTAAATTGATAAGAAAGCTGTGCATATACTTTTTATAAACACACATTAAATATATTCTTGTATTTAGAAATATATTTCTAAATACGGAAATGCCACTATTGGACTGAATCAGATCTTTTGAATGAGTTCATAAAATGTGACTTCCAGGTACAGATGCAGAATCCTATTGCTGAGGCAAAGACACCAATTCAGCCCAATAAAAGCTCTTCCCAGGAAATGCCTGTCTGTAATCTTAAAGACTAGTTCAGATTTGCTTTCAACATCTCATGTTGGGAAATAAAGGAATCAAAGTGAGAAAGTCTCAGTGTCTGTGGATGAGGTTCACTCTTACTCCTCACCTCTGTAGCACATGAAAAAATCTGACCCCAGAGTCATTGCATATCTGGAGTTGTCCTCCAGCAGTTATGAATTGTTGATATCTCCTTTTGGGTACTCCAAAAGCCTCTATTGCTACACATTTGATTCAGTACATCACAGGTGATGGCTCTGCCACCTAAAGAAATCTGGAGAGAAAAAAAACAGGAAAGGGTAGCAACCAGAGGTCCCTCATTTCATATTGCACTATTTTTTTCCTTATTTTTCACTTTACTCCTAATGTAGTAAGGTTTTTTTAAAGATCTCTTTTATCAATTGGGCTTTATCACAGCACCTATCTCAGCATCTGTCTGGTAAGAGATGGCTAAACATTTCCCCTTGACTTCTGAATCACTCAGGTCCAGCCTGTAACAACAGGATGCCAATGACCTGACCTGATGTTGCATCCTTTAAAGACATACTTAAAGTTTTTTAAGCTTTCTTAGTAAGGTAGAAGTCATTATAATTGTCTTATAACTAAATTCAAGTAGTTTAAATGCCCTAGGGCTTAATTTTATTTTACCAGCTAGAATTCTACCATGCAGGCTTTCCAATATGTGTGGAATCTCTTCAGAATTAATCCTGGGTCTCTTTCCTTCCATCCTGCTGTGTCTCCTGTTTCAAAAAGGCTGTTTGTCTGGGATTTATTTTCTAAGCCATTCTTTTTCCTCTTGCAACGGTGTCTTGAAATAAAACTGCTTCACTATTTAATTCTGCTACTTCCCTGAGTACAAGGTGATCGTTTTTTTGAGTCCTTTTTCCTTTGTTAACCCTACTGAGAATTTGTCTAGAAAGTTGTGTCCTGCTATCCTTGTTAATTGATGTTTTATCTGCAGGCAGTTTCTAAACCAGTTTCTGGTGCCAGCCATGTTCTTTGAGAGAAGGTTCTTTAATAGATGTTCACAGACCACCAGCCAGCATGTGGCAACTTTTCTGTATCATGTGGCCATTCCTAATTGTTGTGCTTGGTGGGCCTTGTCCATTTGCACACACTGTTTGTTTCCAAAATTTAGTTAGATAATTTCAATATTCATGACTAATTGAGCAATTGTCATGTGGCCATAAATTCTGTCTTCAAAAGAGAGAGAGAGAGAGAGAGAGCTATCCAGATTTTGTGCACAGATTATTCTCATGTCTGGACCAAAGTTTATACAGCAGGCAACAGCAGAGCAACCTTCCCATGGATACTGTCACCAAACCTCTGTCCTGATCAGCAAGATATTTTAGTGACCTGTTTAGTAAATGCTAATAGCCAAGCACTGCAAAGAGTGCAGGTGAATTTGTGGTGTGGATGCTGGAGGCACATGCACTTCCCCACAAAAAGGGATATAAAGATATCCATCAGCTGGGAGTAGGTTTGCATTCCTGTTGCAGTGGTCTGCAGTCATTTGGGGCAGCTGTGAGCAGTAAACTCTGATATTCATGAGAATCTCTCCAACACATCTGGGCACTGAGGATTAGTCCTGATTAATGCTGCCATTACACCTTCATTTGAAGCACTGTTTTTGGAAGAAGGGGTTAGTAAAAGTGAGGTCTGAATGTTTACACACCAGTGAAGGCTCTGAACTTCCCATAAAAATATAGTTTACAGCTGGGTATCCTCACCCCGCCACAGTTCATGGTACTAGGATTGTGATGGGGTATTCCCCTACTACATTATCTGTAATCAAATACTGTTCCACTTTAAGAATGAATAAAAGCAAATATGATACTATAAAAATTGCAAATACGATATTTAAATTTGCATCAAAAGCTTGTTTTTCAAAGCAGAATAGTTTGGACAGCTGTTATGAGTTCTGACTTGTTACTGTTTTGGGGGTGTCAGTCACATCTGGATCCACAGTCTCCACAAGGTGGATGTGATGTTGCCAGTACCATCAGAGGTGTAAGCAACAGAAGACTCTACAAAGCTGAGGAGGGTATGGGAATATAAAATGTATGACTGGATTTTTGTCACCCATTTATTATTCAGAATCAGAGTCGTCACGACCTCCAGATTCCCTCCCCTGTTCTGGGGAGGAACAAAGCCTGGTAGCTGCAGGCAGCCATGTGGAGAGAGATGGGAACACAGGCACACAAACACACAAATACAGGCTCAGACAGGCTGTGGAGCCTGTATTCTCTCAGCAGAAGTTGGACCAGGAGCAAAAGCAGAGTGAGAGGTGCTGAAGGTTCAGTATGTCTCAGTACCACATCTCATTAGAGGAGTGGGAAAAAATGTCTGTACTGGGCAGCTGCAGTGTGTGTGTTTGGGGCTCACAAGGGAAGGACAGAATGCTGTTTTTAGTTTGCTTTTAAACTGTTGGTCATTTCCATGTGTACCAGAGGCACCTGGCACAGGCCATCTCAGCATGCCCTTCAGCTCAACAAAGTGTTGAAGCCAGAAGAAAGTAAGAAAGCCAGAAGAAAGTTCAGGACTCCCCCAGGCCAGGCACAGCCCATGTGAAGCTGGTCTGTATTTCTTGCTGTGCAGGGATGCTGTGAGAGGGGAGCAGTGTCCCTCCTCCCCCAGACCTCGTTCAGCACATGCAAATGTTCTACAAATGCTCCCATCATATCCCAGACACACTTCTGACAGTCCTTGACATACTCCCAGGGGCTGCAGTAGTCCCTTTGCTGCAGGATAGATAGAAAAATTTGGCGTGATAAGTCACGTCAGCAGAAGGCTGCTTTTCACCCTCTTTCTGCTGACAGAGCAGTGGAAGAGCAGGGCTGTAGCACGAACAGCCCTGCTGCTGCTGCTGCTGCTGCTGCTGCTGCAAATGAAGAAGAGTGAAGAAATGTTAGTACCACATTTAGCTTTATTGAAATTGAACAAATACCTTTTTTTAATAAACCCTTTTACAGCAAGTGTAAAATTTTAATGTTTTACTCATCTTATGTTACAGGTTGTCTTCTTCCATGTAAGCAAAAATACCATCTTTTTTTTCTTCTTTTTTTTTTAATTTTTTTTTTAAATTTTCTACTTTAAAACATGTAGCAAGGATTTGAATAACGCAGATCTGGCACCAAAAGGTAACAGGTTCTGAAAATCACAGTACAGTTTTAAAATTCTTAGGTTAATTAATGATATTTAAAATGATAGCCACTTTGAGTAAAGATATAAATTAGAGGTCTGTAAACAAGTTGTGTTTACCTATAGAGCTATTGACTGCAGCTACAATGAGAGCGGTAATAGAAACTCAATGCTAAACTGAGCTACACCTTTGGGGAAACAAGTTCTTACTAAGTAGTGTGGTACAGGGTAGCACAATAGGTAAAATACAGTTTGGCACCTCAAGTTGCATGTAAAATCAGCAGAAATAAAATTAAGTAAGTGCACTGTCTCCCAACAGAAATAAACCGGGCAGTTTCACTGTTCTTGGAGTGTCAACTATCAAATAAATCACATGACACACAAGTTCAACCCCAAAATTACAATTCTAGTAAAGCAAGATAATATTAAAATGCACACCCACAAGGATAGTAAAGTATAAATTTTTTTTCTTGGGTTTTTTTTTTCCCTCTCCCCTATCAGTAGAAATAATTTACAACCCACAAAAGGACTCCTTGGTGAAACCACTACCCACAGACATGATCATGGAATGTAGCTCAGTAGACTTGTTTCAAATAGAAAGGCAACATTATCCTGAAAAATTTTGGTCCTCTTATAACTCACTGTACTGTAGCCACCACAGTCTCTTGATAGATGTTTTAGGATAATTGTTTGTTTTCTGATTCTCTTTTGTTCTGAAAGGTAATATCTTGGTGATAAAGCTGGATAAAATTTGGCCCCAAATATAGATGTCTGATCAATGCTGGATCTGGAAGAACACACTAGGAGTACATAGGGGGAGCCTCTTGACCGGTCTCACAGCGTATTTTGTCATGGAATCACTTTTCCTTCTACACTTCTTTTCCTCTTTGCTAATTTTTTCTCCAGTGTTCTGGGGGAGTGGGGAAGAAATCCTTAGTCCATATGACATAAAGACATTTCACTGTTTATTTACATGTGGATCACTTTGGCTAAGAAGTCCTGGTGAACCAGAGTTGCCTATTTCTTGTGAATGTCCTCATGCCGTATAATTTTGTATGTAATCCAGTAAAAGATGTTGAAAATGAGGAAGGCGAGTGGGAACGCAGCACGGGATATTGTATCAATCCTTTTTGCACGGTCAACAAACTTCTTTTTGATGGATTCTGAATCCTTTGGTGGTGCCGGAGGTGGGTTGGGTGGTGTAGCCTTGACTGCTGTGCCATCTTTGACTTGGAGGCAGTGGCCCATGCCATAGCCACTGAAATTGAATCGACTGTCACGAGCAACTTCGTCCTCCTGGAGGATAAAGAGGACAAGTAAGACACACAATCACCTGTCTATTGAGCATGCCATGTAGTTGAATAGTTGAGGTGCACCCCTGCAAAACACCTCAGCAAATTACCTGGTTATGCAATGATACAAAGTCCTGGTTTTAAAGACAAACAAGAAGTTAAAACCCACATGAAAATATGCAGAAACCATGTGACTTCCAGTGTTTGTGAATCTGAGCTTTAATCTTCCTAGCTATGTCTAAATCAAGTGCCCTAAGCAGCAAGCTGTATCCCAAGCCCTATAGGGAAGAGATTTGACTCCACGAGTTTATATTGCTCTCCCTGAGCTTCCTGTGGGGGAAACACAGTCATGTTGGTAGCAGAGTGTCTGCTCCAGACAGGCTGAACTGAATGACCCAGAGATCCAGGGGCCAAGTTCATTTCAGTGTTTCCATTGCTCCATCTCAAACCTATGAAACAAGGATCATGGTCTCTCCTTGCTCACAGGAGTGCTCTGACAATCAGTACTTCAAAGTGCACTGGGCACTTGGGTTTGGTGGTAGCTGTGAGTCAGGTGCAGTAACATGAGCTAATGTAGCATCACCCCGCAGAAATCCATTCTCTCTAGTCTGAGTGGGTGATATTTGTTTTTGGAGAGGTGAGTAACTACCACTGAACTTTATCACAATAATAACTGTGATGAAAGGCTTGTGACTGTGCTGGTAAATTCTCCCTAATGTTTCTGCTGTCTGATAGAACAATAGTACACAAGTCCCTGGCAATTCTCCATGAAGGATTCAAAACCAACAGACAAAGCAGCTCTATTCTTTTTCATTCCAGCAGGGATGGATTGTAAGTTCAGTAGCTTGTTCTAGTTAAAGACCTTTTCTTTGACCGACAGATACTTCACTGTTGACTGAAAATGACCACTTCTGGGGCTGATAAGGAGCCCAGTCCCTCACAGGAAACACTCCTGTCATATCATATATGACAATATATCATATCATATCTTTTACCAAACCACAGCCTTCTGAACTTAACAGAAAATCAAAAACTGCAAGAAAAAAAAGCATCACAGCAGCGAGATATTGAATAATGAGTATATTGGCTGAACTCGGGGGTGGGAAAGGAGGATAATTTGCACCTATTCAGGATGTAAATCACTGCTCCTTCACAGAAGAACCTCTTTCAATAGTAGCATTTTTCTCTCTCCCCAGCTCCAGGACTGGAATTGCATATATCACCCAACTTGCTCTCCCTACCTTGGAGCTGTCACGCAAAGGTGAATAACCAGTAGTGTGATTCAAGGATACCAAATGAGAAATAGTCACTCTGACTGCTTATGGCATTGAATGCTTATGGAAGGAGGGTAGGCAGTAAACAGTGCTTCAGAGACCCTGGCACTTCAGCATGAAGGTCTGTTCTACAGTGTATCCATGAGCAGGTGGAAAATTGTGTTATTGCAAGGCTGTTCGAGCACTTACCCAGAGCTTATAACCTTTTCATTTCAAAAGTTTGCCATCATTAAGAAAAAGAAGGCTGGTCCTCTGCTTTTTCAATTTTATTTATTTGCAGTTTGCAGTATCTCTGTGCAAACTCTGCTTGTCCTAGTGATTATAAGTATGTAAAGTATTTTAAAGATGAACCCACTGAGACCTAAGTTCTGGATAGCCTTATTAGGCAAGGCTTCTCTTGCATGACTTAATAACACTACCAGGTCCCCCAGTAACACAGGGAGATGCCTTCTTCACAGTGTTTTTCATTTTACTGAGTTTGAAGGATAAAATGCATGCCCAGGACATGAGAGGTGATTAAAAAGGGTAACAGATTTTCAGCAGCTGTGTTGCCATATGTACTTCATTCATTTTTAAAAAATTTAATTTCTGTTGCTCCTGAGAGATCTGTGGGAAGAATAAAAAGTACTGAGCTCAATGCAAGCTTGGAGAGTCCTGACTTCCACTGTGCCCTGGTGGATCACAGCTTTATCACATGGGGCTGAGCAATTCATCTCCAATGCCACAGCCTTCCTTTAGAGCTTACGCTGTAGCAACTTGAGTGGGAAGCCATCTGAAATTAGGGACAGGGATGTTTAAATCAAATTCTTTTAGGTATTCAGCACCCAACCCTTAACTCTAAGGAGCCACTTATATCCCAGTGGGATTTAGAGCCCTGCTTTTCCCACCCAGACAGTTGTCTGTGCCATTTCTTTCCCACAAAAGCCAGAGGAAAACAAGTCCAATCCCCATGTTAGTTTTTTATTTAGGACTGCAGCAGATTAGATTTACCCTGGGTACAAGAGTTACAGCATCCACCTGGGGTATGAGTGATACATGTTGTTTCCCTCTCTGCTTGAAGAGATTTGAATGTCCTTCTCCCTAACAAATCTCTGGATTAGTTTGTTACTGTTTTCCCAACATGGAGCTATTTGCTGGTTGCAAAAACAAAACAAAAGAAAACAAAAAAAAAGTGTTTATGAAGGGGGTTTTTAACCTTTATCAGAAAAACTTTTTTCAAAGCCTAAACAATTGATTAGGAGAATAGCACTGTCATTCTATACCCAGTTGTTACTATACATGATATTATGCATTTGCACAAACACAGCACTAGAGACACCCAAGCTGTAGCTGTTGGGACCATTTAAGTACCATCAGGAGCAAGGAAAGCCAGGGACCTTACAGTCCCACTTCCAGCTCTGGAGATGCCACAGCTCCATAACCACCATGGGATTTTTAACAATAAAATCCCCCAGGAGCCAAAGGAACTTTGCAGTCTGGTATGTGCCTGCACACTGAGCACTGCCAGGTGTTACAAGCAAGACCTGACCCCATCAGAGCTCTTCTACCTGACCAGATACTGCCTGAAAGACCTCAGGGGGGTGAGATCTCTGCCCCTTGAAAGTGCCAATAGTGTTTACAGTTAAATGAAACCCTGGAGATAAGACCCACATGTCTGTGGTAAGAGGATACTTTTGCCATGAGACTGCCCAAGTGGGCTTGTGTCCTTTCAGCCCACTGAGCCACTAAACTGGTTCCACTCAAAATGAAGCAGAGGGGCAGAAAGGCTTCCTCTGTGCTGCTGAGGGGAGCTTGGGAATCAGCCCAGGTTCTGGAAGTCCATTGTCCATGCTGCTTGTGGGTTAGCACACTCTGTGGTAGATCACACCAAAAAGCTTTCTCCCAGACAAACCTGTTCCACTGGGGCTGATGCCACACACTGCCATCATGAGCCATGTGGTGATATCTGGCTTCAGGAGTAATTTAATCCCCCATCTGATTTTCTTTAGCATTATGGATGTAATTAAAAAAATCTGTCTCCAAACCACCATAATCTTATGACAAAACCACAATTTGACATTTTAGACAATCTTCCAGCATCCTGTTACATATAAAGGACTTGGGGGAATAGTCACAAAGAAAAACAAATTAATACACTTTGATAAATAACCCTTTTTAGAATTATAATTCAAAAGGTGAGATGAAGAACTGACCTTAAGTGACCCTTAAGTAGTGGATATGTCTTCCTTTGACTTAGGGGTTTGGTGAACTACTGCACAACTTACCTTGGATACCCTTGGGTGGGGCTGCAGGGCCAGTCTTCATTCTCAAGGTCATGTTCAGTTCATACCCTCTGACATATCTACCATGGACACTCACCCACTGACAGTCTTCAACCTGTTCACTAGCTTAGTCACTGATAAAATAGTCCAAATGACTTTTCAAACATCTCTATCATTATTTTAATCAGACTATGCTTAAAACACATTCATTTCAAACTGGGCAGGATCTCACTTGCATAAATCCCAGACTATTTATGTGTTTATAGATTTTAAAACCAAAATTAAAGAGCAGCTGGAAGCCACTGGACATCAACTGGAGTGGCAGAATCTGCTGCCATTGAAGATATTAACTTTATTTTTCTAAAGAGATGTGAAGTTAGGTGATACATAATACAGAGACACAAATCCATCTGTCATTGATTAAGGCATAGGGAAAAGGTTCATAAACTAGGATGAGAATTGATTAAGGCATAGGGAAAAGGTTCATAAACTAGGATGAGAAACAGAAAAGAAATTAATGACAAGAGGAAAATATTCTTTTGATGGTTTTCTTTCAGATGTTCACACCCTGAGTATTTTAGAATTATCCATTGTAAACTAATTCTATTTCCTGCGATTTGGACAAGTACTTTCCATAGATGTTTTTCAACAACATAAGTTTATGACTATTGTCTTATGATGTCATAATGAAAAGGCTTAGGTATTAGCTTTAAACAATTTTTGTTAAACAAGAATTATATATTTTTCTCATTTTTAATTACCCTTTATGAATTTAGTGATTTTTTTTGTGCTTTACAAATTGATGGCATTAAATTTTCTTGACTAAGCTTTACAGTAAGCAACATATAAATGGGGTTAATACTTCTGAAATTATTTTCCTTTTTCCATTTTTCATTTTTGTAAAGCTTTTATTTCTACTCCATCAGGGCTAGAATGTATTTCATACTACCAGTTTCACACCAAAGCAATCAGACATGGGGAAAACACTTTAGAAAATCTAGCCTATTCAATGCCTTACATGCTCAACTTTCTGTACAATGCATTTTGAAGTGCTTTGTCCTCACCACTTTTAAATGCTTATTGTCAGCATTGACTCAGCTTTAACAATGAGGGAAATGAGAGAGAGGCTGGCTTCAAACAGTGTATTTAATTTACTCTCTGATGTGATTTATTCTTTTAATTTTGCTACTCTTTTCCAACATATGGTGTAAAAACTATTTAAAAGACTATCTGGTTTAATTAAATTTCAAGGACACAGATGATTAATTTTAGGTATAGGATAGAGAACATCAGAGAAATTTTCTTTTTGGTATTCATAAGTATAAAGTTAGAAACCTGGAATCAATTGAGACTTGAATGCAACATGGAATCATTAGGGAATGGACACCAAAATATCTTTGGAGATTTCATTCTAAAATCACATTTATGACTTTGAGACACCTCCCATCTCTCAGTACTTTACATAATTCATGGTGTGGTTTTGCAGACAGTCATGCTTACATGGTTTCAATTCTCAGGAGTCACTGAGTGTGTGGACGAAGATAGTTCAGCTGAGAAGCATATTTGGACTTTCAAATCCCCTTTGGTTCCTCACAAAGTCTCTTACAAAATTCAATTCAATTAAATTCAATTGTGAAGAGATGAGAGGTAAGGTCCTTTCATAGATTAACTGTTTAAAAGGCAGTAATGGAGTTTAGGAGTAAAAGATCGATTTCATAACTGGGGGATTGCTGGAGGGGATCTCTAAGAATCTGTGTGAGAGCCACTCAGAAGGAACTGACTTATAAATAAGCTGGGACAAAGGTTCCCAAGGGAAGGCACACAGGTGAAACAAGATATTCAAAGCAGAAAAAGCTAAGCCAGGCTTTCCACAAGGATTCTAAGAGGTGAGTGACTAAGTAACAAAATAGCAGTAAATGAGATACAGGGTTGATAAGTGCGAGGTAAATCATTGCAGAAGATAAACCTAATTACACATGGATGATAATGGGCTCAAAATGTTTTTTGGTTTATTTTTTTTCTCATTTGTGAGTTTGGGAAATTACCACATATATGATTCTGACATTAGTCCTCTGCTAAGCAGCAGTCAGGAAATGGGCAAACAAAATAGAAAATGCTTCTGCCATCTACTCACAGTGAGATCAGATTTTGGACACAAGAGGTATTTCTGGTCACTCAGTCCTAGTGAAGACATAGCAGAAGTAGATAAAATACAAAGAGGGGCAGCAAGGATAATAAAGACCTTTTTTTGCATAAGGAAGAAAATTTCATCTTAGAAAAGCTGTGTTTGGAAGGTGATATCAAAGGATGCTAACAAACTTCTCTGATTTCTTTCAGCCAGAAAAGCTCTGGATCTCAGCTTTCCTACGCCAGATGTGATTCCCACTTCTTCTTAATCCAGACTTCAGAGGAACAGAAGGTGATGTAAAATTGTCACCTTCTCACCTCAATCCTGCCCAAAGTATAGATATTTCCCAGTTTTTGGTTTAAATATAGTTTTTCCTAAATATTCACCAAGATGTTTAATCAGTCTCTGACCAACCCTACTGCAACATGACATTCCATCAGGACCCATCATTCTGCATGTGACAGTGGTCCATCAGGACCCATCATTCTGCATGTGACAGTGGTGCTCACCCCATTCCTGCCTCTCTAACAGCGATTTTCCTGCTCACTGAGGTTTGCTTTTGCTCTCATTTGAACCCTCGTGCCTTATGGAATCTAAGTAAAACAAGCCTTGCATTATAAATAGACATTTTAATTAATGGAGGATAAATTGGTCATTGCTGTCTTTGGTGAGGCTTTCCAATGGACAAATTTAGGTTTGTTTTGGAAACCTGTGTTTAGTAGTATGTTCTGTCTCCAATAAACAGCAGAAAAATCTCTGAAGCATGAGTGATTTACTTACACAGTCTGTAAGAACAGCAAGTGAACTGTTGTTAATGCAATAATGAAATGGTAGTTAATGCGGCTTCGCCCTTTTCAAGTAGGAATTGAACATTATCCAACTGAAAGAGTAACATAATTTAAACATGTTGTGAGCAGAAATATTTTCCTGGCTTGAAATACCTATAAGTAGAATATAAATTTTTCAAGAATTACTTTAATATTAAAGATTATACGGTCGGTAAGGATGAGTGGTTTGCTATAAAAAAAAACCAAACAACTTTTTCTTTAGTAAAGCAAGGCTTCTGTCTCTAAATTTTGCAAACACTATTAATGAAAATTTCTTATTCTATCTCAAGTTTTAGATATACTATAATGAATGTTTTAATTTTAGGGGAGGGAAAACCAGATGAACTACTCTTTTACAAACACCATAAATGTCACGATAGAAAGTCATCCCTCCTAAAAAAACAGCAGATTGATTCCTGACACAGTCTTGGTTTCTTTTTCCCCTTTATTTTAAATTAAAGTAATGCCTTAAAATACCCAGATACAGTGATCTGTTAGTCTTATAGGTATAATTTGTCTGAATATTAAATTCTCTCAGGACAGTAAAGTCTGGAGACTTGACTGCTCTTGGGTAATTTCTGCCAGTCTTTCTCCAAAGAAAGAAGAGGTTGGCAAGTTTATCAGTGGGAATGGCACATTATTCTGTTTTACATCAGACAAATACATACTGGTGACCTAGATTTGAAGGATAATCTGCTCTGACCAGAAGTCTGTTGGATAAAGGGCAACTGACTTCTGCTCATTCTGTCTGCATGCAGGGCTGAGTAAAATGCAAAGCTGGTGTTTAAATATGTGACTATTTCAGCTAGAACATGAAATAGCTGTTAATGGGCACATCAAACTAAACAATCTAAAGCAAGACTGCATTTGTTAAAATTTTAGAAGATCAAAAACCTAAAACATAACGGAAACATACCTAAAATTCACTTACTCCATTTTCTCTTGTTTTCTGCAAGTTGCCTGCCTCAGGAGTCATAGATGAGCAGACTCTCACCTTCCTCCTTTTCACCAATGTTCAAGCCTGAGCCTCAGCTTCAGTTCTCTCCCTCCCTGAAAGCTGCTGCAGGGTCAGTATCACAGGGCAAGGGCACACAGTGTCCCCAGGTGGGTGACAGGCATGGGGGAACTACCGTGAGGGGCACCTGTGCTCAAATACCCCAGTCACAGACAGAAATATCTGAGCTACTCTCTGCACAGGATTTTTCCCATCAGGTTCTTTGGCCCTTTTCTCAAAGCATATTTAAACACCTTGGGGAAGATGATTTTTTATCACACCTTTGTGCAATTTCTCCAAACCCTCTTCCTTAAATGTTACTATCCTAGGAGACTTTGTTAGAGCACTGCTGTGCCCTGGCTGTGCCATCTCAGAGTACCTCATTAGTCAGTCAGTCAAAATTAAAAATGAAATAAGTGTCCATACAGGGCCCATAAACAGCACTTCTGATTGGATTCATGCAGATTACCCTCTAGAACAATATATTGCTGGGGATGTTTTATGTCTCATGTTTTGATTGCCTCAGCTCCCCATTCCTTGGGGCTGATGGGCAGTCCTGTCTGGGCCAGGGGTGGCCATGAAGTGCTGGGACCTGAGGCATCCCTACCCCTTGCTGAGGTCTCCTACTTGGTGCCAGGAAGGGGCAGAGGAAGGGGACAGGAAAAGGGAAGGAAGAGGAAAAGGCTTTTTGCCTCTTTGGTGGTGGATTCTCTCCTTCAAGCCATTTTCTACAACAAACACCCAGAACAAACCCCAGCAAATGCAGACAGAGTTTACCAGGGCTTTCTCAGACATTCATGCATTTAATTTATGCAAATGCTGAACAAAATGAATTAAGTATTGCAAATTATATTAATAATTTAAATTCTTTAGCTAAAAATAGTCAAGAATATTTGAATAATCCTGAAGTGTTCACTTGCAAATTTTATAGATTTGGTCGGGGGAGGCTATGGGGCTTTTTGTTTGTTTCATTGTTTTTGGTTTTCAGTGTTTTTTATTCCTGAGGGGACAAGCCTTCCTTTTCCAGTTATCAGTTCTTAATACCAGGCTTCCGAAAAATAATGGTTTTGGGGTTGATTTTATTTCCTTATCTTCTATTACCCTTTCTGGCTTTCCATATAATTTATTTCTCGTAGTTAGTCAAGATCTCAATCTGGATTTCTTTAGCTATTCTTGCATAGGTCCAAAGCATCATTGGGGTAAAAAAAATATTTGCCAGCTATCTGCCCTTCAAATTTGTTTCCAAAATTAAATTGTTGCATCTTAGAAACACCCTGACTGTTTGAATGTATTAGAAATTTACTACACATATAGACTTCTGTATTTTCATTTTTCATTTGCTTCTGTGAGGGTTGCTCTATAAAACTCTGATATTATTTATTCTCAGGAAAATAAACACTCATCATGAGGTAAAAATCAATGACAGCGCTACAGCAACTTGACAGTGCAATCTCTACATGGAATTGTTGGGGTGTTTTTGTCTCATCTGATAAGCAATAAATCCACAAAATCTAGAAGGTCATTGGAAGCATGCATACAATGGAAATTAAATAATATTTCATTTAAAATGGGTTTGATAGTTCTTCCACTGTATTGCACAGTTTTCCCACACAGACACAAGAGTGTACACACACACACACACACACACACACACACAGTCTGCATGCACCAATCCATGGAGATATATGTACCTACTTACAGCTGTGGGCATCTACTTAATCCAGTCCTCTAATGTATTCCCTGAAGGCATTAGTTAGTGGCAAGTTCACCTAGTGAGAATGTTTTTATTCTATTTTAAGATTAAGAGCACTCTCCAGAGCTTTTTTTAATTATTAATTTTTAATAACTTCTCAAAATGTTACCTTTTATGCTAGCTTTTCCCCTGCAGTAGTTCTGAGGGGCAAGGATACAGAACACACAGGCAATGGTCATTAAACCTTCCCAATCCTCTCTGCCCATAAATAGGCTCTTTGGTGGGATGCTGGCATTTCTCCAGGAGGACCATCTGCCCAGGCCAGTAACTAAGCAACAGATCTCCTGGTGATGGCCTTTTATTACTTGGCAAAACTGATAAAAGGATAACCTGAAACAAGAGATTTAACTGTGTATGAGAGAAGTCAGTACTGAGAGGTACAGACAGAGGAAATGTGGAAGCATAGCTATAGCACTAAGAAAGGTATTCTTGGGAGATCTCAGATGCTTATCTGAACTCAAGTGTTGCTCAGGAATATCAAGGGAAACGGGAGAAGAAATTCTGAATTAATTTATGTAAAAGAGCGTGCACAAGGATAACACAGAAGGGTCGCTATGCCAGCAGCCTTCCTGAGACCTGCACGCTGTATCTTTCATCTGGTATGTCCTGGAGTAATTCCAAGCCAGTGTTTGCAGTGCCAGAGCTCTGGAGAAGCCTGTCATGAGGTACATGGAAGAGGTCAGGACTCACTGTGACTGCCCACGACCTCCTGACTTGAGGTTCCACTTTTGAGAAGGGATGACACCAGGGGAAAGTTTGTATTCAGGAAACATCCCAATAAGCCAAAGAACAAAGCAAAACAGGAGCACCTTGAGGGACAGGGAGACCTGGCAGGTTTCTGCTTCACTGAACTTCCAAGAGTTTCATGAGTACCAGGCAGGAGCATTCTGCCCAGGTCAGACAAGATGTGGTGTTTGGTGACAACCTAAGTACTGCACAGCAGGGTATCACACACGCTGTGCAGTCAGACTGGCTGGGCATCAAACTGATTTGTTGTCCTCTGAGCTGGAAACATGAATGGGGTCTTAGAACCCCTAATGTGAAACACAGGAAAGTTGATATCTACTCTTGGTCTTTTGCTTCCCTGTCTCCTTATTTCTGCAACTATCTCTTCCCTTTTTAACTCCTTTTTAACTTTTTTTCATCTGACACATTTTTTCTCGCTAATTCCCAGACCTGTTTTTGTCTACCTCCTCTCTGATGCTTTCATCCTCACTGTTTTCCTCATATGTGGCCTATACCTTCTGCTTGCAAAATTCAGTTCTTTCCTTAGGTCCTATCTGCTCTGGCCCTTTCTGCTCTTTTCAGCTAAATTATCTTCCAAAGAAGAGGCAAGCCATAAAAGTAAAATTCCACCTTGCCAAGACCACCTCTAAACTGAGTGGTGTTACTCTATTTTTTAAGAATAGACAGGAATTAGGTTTAGTTTTCTTTGGCTGTTTGTTTTTTTCTTTTGTTGAATTTTTTTTTAAATTAAAACCTTCTGCTTTTGGATATACACAGACTTGATAATTGCTCAAGGAGTTTCCAGTACCAAAAAGCATTTTGAAATGTGATGCTTCTCATTTGATCTACAGCTCATGACACACAGCCTGTCCCATGGCTGGCACAGAAAGCTGAGGATCACCAAGCGCGTGGGTCCGTGCAGCAATCTGTGACTGTGTTCTGACCACCCAGAACATGAAACACGAATATTTTGGAGGCTTTGGAAAATGATCACGAGTGCTGGAAAACCAGCAAATTGAATTTCGTTTTTATTCTAAGTTTAAAGCTCAGAAAAAAGAGTTGTTGTTTGTGCAGAGCACATGTTGTTCTAGTCTACTGAAA